GCCTCCGGCGCCAGGAGGCGCCAGGAAAATCAGCTACGTGAGCTGATTCGTACCCCCCCTTTGCTATCCCCCCCTTTTGCCCGGCCCGAAAGTTCCCCCTTCACAGGTCACTAACATAATTGATATGCATTGCGAGAAGTAGCCTGTTAGAAGACAATCGCTTGATAATCTTCCATCGTACCAAAACACCGATCCTGCGACTTCAACGCCGCGGATCAGCGTGAATGTTGAGTCCTGACGATCCTAAATCGTGCCAGAACGCAACCTGGGACTTCAGCACCGCGAATCAGTGAGAATGTTGCGTCTCGGCTGCCCGAAATCGCATCAGAGTGCCACTATTGGGACGTCGGCCATGCGAGTCCTTGAGATTGCTGTTAAAGTGTACGACGAACGTGCGCGGAGTCAAGGCGAGAGCCACATTTGATAAGCAGCCGCCCTACACCCATAAAGCAGTTCCAAACGAATGTGCGCGGCGCTGCGGCCAGAGCCACCTGTTGAAAACCACTGTCGTCCATCCGTGAAACTGTTGCAACTTCCAAGCTTGAGACTCATACGCGGCGAGGACGTCTTAGGCGAAATGCTGGGCCCGCCTTGCCGACACGTCTGGGGTCCGACAAGGAGGAGTTGCTGATCATGAAGAAGTGATGGAGGGTCTAGGTTCGAGGTTTGAGGTTCATCGGACGCTTTCGTCGGGTCTTTGCGGGTGCCCAGCCTTGGGATGCTTCCCAGCAGCTGCGCCTCGCCGAGAGGCCGAGAGCGCTCTGGTGATACCCGGATCGTCTCGAACGGTCGCCTGAGACACGAGCTGTGGCCCGAAAGCCAGGGGACAAAGGCGTGGAGACGGGAGGGCGGAGCAGTTCTTCGGAAGCGGACAGACAGCAGACAACAACATGTCCGTCTTCGCGTGGCATAGCTATCAGATCTGGGCGGCGCAGAATTTAAGGTCGTGGCGACTGGCTTTTGCCGCCACTCTTCGCCCCCGGGGAGCGGATCCCCAGGCCCTAGGAGGGTGTCAAAGAATCGCTCAGGACGAACGGGGTCAGGAGGGGAAACCAACACAAGAACATTGGAAGCGGAGGGGAGACGAAAGCCCAGAACAGATTGGACAATTCTGGGTCCAGAAAGTATGGGAAAAGATTGGGAATCCTGGGATGTGTGACTATTTCTTTGTGTGCCCCTGGGTCCGTTTAGAGGAGGGGGCACGATCGAAGGCAGCAGCAAAAACGCACGGAAACGTTCGGAGGTCCAGCGCCGATCCGAGAAGTCCGCGCGGACCTCCAAACGTTCATGGTTGCGCAGTTGTTTGGTCTTCTACGGCCAGAACGAGGTATAAGGTCGAGGTCGGTTCGGGGAGGGTACGTACCCGAATGTTCTTCGTGTTTGTTGGATGTTCTTGTGGACCCTGGCGGAGGGTACCCTCGAATGTTTTTTTCAGTTTGGCTGGCGGAGGGTCTCGCGTGCTTGCTGGATTTTCTTCTGTCCGAGGTCTGGCCGTAAAGGTGAACGGGGGACACGAG